TGTCCCGGGAGAAAGAAGGAAGGAAGGAAGGGTGTCATTGCCGGCTGGGGGCTGGCCGAGGGTATCTCCCAGGCTCCTGGGCTTCCCCGCGCTGGTCCTGCCACCGCCTCCGGCAGTTTTACGCCTCCTTCAGCGGTGCTGGGTGTTGGCGGCAGCCCGGGCTCGGGGCTTTGACTGGGCTGGGCCAGGGCGTCTGTTGGGACCGAAGCTGGAGGGCCCTGGCCGGAGGGTCTTGCCCCTCTGCCGCACTGGGGCGGGAAGGAGTCCCCCGGTCAGACGGGTGCAGTCTGGGGTGGGGGGTTTGCTTCCTCTGCTTCTCCCCGGGACCTTCTGAGCGTCCACTGACATTGTCCCGTAGCAGCAGGACGCCGTGCCTGGCTTCGCCTGTGGCAAGTGGGGGCGTGATGCCGGGTGCTGTCGGGGCCGGCGCCAGCGCCGTCTGGTGCAGAGTTCAGCTGCTCGGTTGTACCGGACGGGGCTAATCCTGCCTCAGGCCCGGGGGTTGGACTAGGGGAGCTGCGGGCCCCTTTCAGCCTGAGGTCTCTAGGACTCGATGAAAAACCGACAGGCCTTCGTCGGAAGGAGTTCAACACCCTCAGCAGGGCTGTGGGATAGGGGCACGGGGGCAGAGAAAAGACTAGCGTCGTGGGCGGCACGTCACGACCGTTCAAAAGCAGAAAGGGTCGTTAACACGGGTGGGATGCTGAGTAGAGACGGGATCGAGGAGAGGACGTGTGCACCCCCTGGGTCCGCCCTGCCCACAGCCTGGGGTCAGGTTGTCAGCGGGGGCTGCTCCTTGGCTCTGTGCAGGGCCCAAAGCCAGCTGCCGTGGGGCAGGTTGTGCCCTATGGATGCTGCGGGACTGAGAGCCGTCCTCGTGGGTGCCGGCGTGCTCGGAGGGCTGGTAGGGAGGTAGGGAATGGGCTACCGCAGCGTCCCGCTCCTGTCTGCAGCATCTCCGGCCCCAGCTCCCCATCTTCTGGCACAAGGCCCAGGGGAGAGGCCAGTCAGTCACCCCAAGAGCTGAGGGGGTTGGGGTGAAGGCGCTGGTATAGGATGGCCCTGGGCACGCCGCGGCGGGGCTGGGCTGATGTGCCCCCGTGGGTAGCAATGGGCACTGGGGGCCTCACTGCCTTTCCTGCCCAGGTCTGGACGAGCGGCTGCAGCGGTATCCCTGGGAGGCATGGACCCTGACCGGGCAGGACTTGCTGTGCCTGTCCCACCGCAACCTGGAGCACCTGGGCGTGCGGTGCATGGGTCACCAGGAGCTGCTGCTGGAGGCTGTGGAGCAGCTCTGTGCGCTGGTGAGTGCACGGCGGGAGCTGGAGCCAGGCCCCTTCCCCGAGCCTCTGCACAGAGCAGCGGGAGCTGGGAAGCCCCCCGGCACCTGCCCTGCGTGCTTGCCCCTGGGGCTTGGGGATGGATGGCACAGGGGCTGAGTGCAGCCCAGGTGACGGGTGCGCCAATGCTCCTACCAAAGCTGGAGGGTCCTGGCTGCTGGGTCTCGTCCCTCTGCGTGGGGTCAGATCGACACCACGTTTGGGGTCCAGAAGGAATTTCCCCCAGTCAGACTAGTTTGGACAGGGGGAAGGGGGTGCTTTGCCTCTGCCTGGGGTCTCTCAAGCACGTATTAACGCCTTTGGAGCAGCAGGACATTGGCCATCGCAGGCCCCTGCTGTGCCCGTGGCAGGGTCAGGTGCGATGCCCGGTGCTGTCAGGCTGACGGTAGTTTTACGGAGAGGCTAGATGGTGGGACTATTTGATGTCCTCAACTTTCGCGGTGGTGACCGCCAGTCACTGTGGGCCGCCTGCGGATGGCGGCTGGTGGTGGACGTGGACCCCGCACGCCCGATGGGGTGTGGCGGACAGATCCGATGTTGAAAAACTCCCGAAGGGGTGGGTCCCGCTGCTAGATGGTGGGTTTGTCTGGGATGTTTTGGAGAGGGAAGATCCCGCTTCAGGCACGAGTCAAACTGGATGTCCTCTCCGGAGCGACCTTCCAGCCCGCATCTGTGAAATGGGAAGGGCTCCCCCGGGGCAGCAGGAGCTGGACGGTGGCTCCCCCGAGAGCTGCCTTGCATGGCGCGGTCTCTGCAGCGCCCAGCCCAGGCAGGGGCAGCTCTGACCTTCCCCCCTGAGACCTTGGGGTTGTCCCTCTTTTCCCCCCCCCACTCCAGTACTACGAGCTGGAGACCACCAACCTGCGAACACTGACCATGAAGCTGCGGCGGGTGGCTCGGACCATCCAGGCTCTCGTCCTGAGCAGCCAGAGGGTGACCGCCTGTGCCGGGGACGGGGCCGAGCCCCCCCCTCTGGACCTCCTGGCCAGCGTGGTGGAGCTGGTCGGTGCAGCTAAAGGGCTCTTCTCGTGGCTCAACAGGTACCAACCAGCTCCCCCAGTTGGGGGAGGCCTGGGCCAAGCAAGGGAGGGTCTGTGCGCTGAGAGCAGCTGGGGGCCAAGCTGCGGGCGTCCCTGTGAGGAGAAGGAAGGGTGGGGAACGTGGCATGGGCTGTGCCCCATCTCCCCCCGACCTCGCCGGTGTCGTCTCGCCGTGCCCTCCGGGTTTGGGCACCGTGCTTGCTCGCTCAGGCCGGACGTAGCCGTGCGGGGGATTCCTCGGCTCCGTGCCCCGAATGCATGGGCCAGGGCAGGCCCGGTGCCCCTGCCCAGGCACTTCAGCCTTGCCCCGGGGGCTGTGGGGGCTGCACGCGGCGCTGCGGGATCCCAGGTTGGCCTGGCACTCCCAGCGTACTTCAGCCGGGTCCTGCTCACTCCTCCCCTCGCAGGTACCTCTTCACCCACCTGCACGACTATTCCTCCAGCCGGGACATCATCCCGCTGTGCGCGGAGCTGGCCGAGGCCGTGCGGAAGGTGAGGGCGCGGGGCCGATGGGGAACCCGAGCGGGCAGGAGTTCCCAAGCCCTCCCCCAGAGCAGCCCGGGGGGTGTCTGGAAACCCCCGTGATGGCTCTGGGTCACAGTCCCGTGGCACAGACTTCCCGGGAAGCATCCACGAGCTTGCCCTGGAGCCGAGCCCGGTGTCCCGACCCCTTGGCCTTGGGAATGGCCTCCGCTTGCAGCAAGGCGGTGGTGCTGGCCAGGAGCCCAGGGGACTGGGGCTGGGGACTGGGCTGTGGTCACCCGGGGAAGGGAAGGGACTGGAGAACCGCCGAGGAAGGAAGCCGGAAGCGGGACATAAACAGCCTGAAAGAGGGGCGGGCGGGC